TGTGAAGCTACTGGAACAAGTAATTGAGGATTTTTTTTATTAACTTTGAACAAAAATAACTTTGGCCTGTCCCTTTTGTGTCCCCAGTACTAAAATCTAGAAGTGTTTGAAATCTTTGTCAAAACTAACTGGTTATATCCAGCTTACAACATGATTTGTGCTTAGCACTAGTTGTCTGCCAGTGTTTTTGAGTATTTAGAAACTGGGAAAAACCACCCTACCTATCTTCACCTGTTAACAAAAAGCCCTTTAACCTTCCAAATTTTAGCACTGACAAGAATAAGCAACGTAAAATTGAAAATCTGAATAACTGAGGTGTTCAGGGGTTTTTGATGGAATTAGGATACCTGGCCAGGGCATTAAATTTTGGCCTTTCAGACTCCAGATTGCAGCAAAAGAAAAGGAAGTAGACAAATGATCTGGCAAGGAAGGCCAGCCTATAGCACTTGACATAATTGGTATTACCTGGGGCAGCCCCCTGAAGGACTGAACTGACTGGAGACCATAGATTTGGGCTTCTGAGGAAGGGCCAGGGAAGCGGTCTCACCCAGTTGCATTATGGCTGTCCTGAGTTACAGGGTCAACCTCCAGCTCTGGTAGGGGTCGACTGTTGGAGGTTTCTAGGAAAGGCACTTTGAATTCCACCTGTAGCTGGCAGGTCCCCAAGGAGGTGGTGAGAAGGCAGAAAGGCCTGGGGTGAGCCCTCACTCCCATTCTCCCACCCCACCCCTCATCCTGCCCCCACCTAGAGGTTGGGAAGGACTAGCTGAGCTCCATTGGTTCTGTGCTGGGAGGTGACATGGAGTCCTTCTGGATGCTTTCAAAGAGGGCAGTAAGCTCGGGGTTGGATCGGATTTGGGAAGAGAAGTCAGCCATGATGGGGCTTTTGCCCACTTCAGGGATGGTCAGCAGGGCAGCCACCACCCTCATTGCTGAGCGCTTCAGTTCATCTTGCTTCTCAAACTCCTGTTTGACGGAACCAGCTTTGACCTGTGTTGGAATCGGAATGGAAGAATGAGTCCTTGATCCTTGATGTACCCCCACAACACAGCCTGCTCACTGGGCTGAGCATTCTACTCACCTGTCTGCAGTCTTCCCCACTGAGCAAGGCTGAGTACCTTCCATGGATCCTCCATGCCCCCAGCTTCAAGCTCCTGGGGCACTGGCCTCACTAACCTGTTTGTTCATCTGGATCCTTCTGCCCACTCCCACCCCTGCTGAACTTTTCCCTCTGATCATGGTACTTTGTCAGCTTCGTGTTACCTGAGGGACCTCTGATAAGCAAATCTGTATAGTTTGATAGTGACAGTGACTAAGAATCATGAGAATCAACTTGATTGTTCCTGACAGCAGATACCCTAAACTTCATTTAGAGGGATTACAACTGTGTCCTTGTATCACAGGGCGTGAATCTATCATTATACTTAATCTTAACCCAAAGGCAGGGAAGTGATAGGAATGCATTACTGATAAATCTGTTTACTCAAGTCCCTGGTCCTGCAAGTGACTGTATAAATGTAGCTAGAAAATATCTAAACCTGTATGGTTTACATCCTCTCACACAGTCCTACCCCACCCTGTCCCATCTGCTTATTCACAGAATCCTGGCTGAATTGCTTGTTGTTGTTATGTGCCATCGAGTCTTTTGCGACTCATAGCGTCCCTATGTACAACAGCCCTAAACC